TTATCATAACTACCCTTATTATTACCATTACTCTTATTATCATAATTATATTATTGTCACTTTGTTATTACTATTGTTATTATCATCAATTATTATTGCTACTGTCGCCATTGCCCTTAACACTATCATCATTGTTGTTATACTTATTGTTGTCGATGTATTATTATTGTTTTATTATTATTATCATCATTAGCATCAGCATCCTTATCATCGTCACAACCATTAGCATTACCACCACCATCATCACTAGTGTTATCGTTATCATTATCATTACCATCATCATCACTAGTATTATCGTTATCATTATCATTGCCATCATTGTCATTATTATTATTATTATTATTACCACCCCCCAACCATCACTAGTATTATCGTTATCATTATCATTACCATCATCATCATCACCATCATCATCATCATTCTTGTCACCATCATCATTATTCTTATTTTCATATTGTTATTGCTAATGCTGTTGCTGGTATTATTGATATTTGTTGTTTTTAACGTTCATAATGTTATTGGCAGTTAAATGCATATTATTCCTGGAATTGTAACTACTACTACCCTTATTATCATCAGCAGCAGTCATTAATTTCATAATCATCCTTTCATCACTATTATCATTATTACTGTTATTTTTATCATTATAAATAGTATCATCGTGGCTGCTATTATTGGAGTATACTCTGCATACCGATAGCAGTATTGATGAATCGTGATGGTAACAAGAATAACAGAAATAGTGATAATAGCGATAACAATAACATGAAAAAATAGTCCATACAAATACAAATATTTTTAAGAGCACTCGTATCATGAATAGTTATAGGAATAACCGTAACATGTACTAAATATAAATAGGGTAACAAGAACATTATCCCAGACAGAAACCGTATTGTATAAATAATAATGTACATCATCCGGTCTTAGCAAATGATTGATTTATGTATATTTCGCCGTAGCTCCTCATCTCTAGTAGTAATATACATAATTTTTATCCACCTCTCTCCCACTTTACTTTAAATTTTCATTTTCTCTTGTATCATTCAATATCAAGTCCTGGCAGACATAACCACGCCGTCCCAAGGTCTTGCGTACTTTTTGTGACGCAACGTGAACAAGTCCTTTCAGGGGTGTAAAGTAGCCTTACTTCTGTTGAATGTAAGAACTGTTTGTTCCACCAACTTCCCGGAGTATAGTATAGGTATGTGTTGCATCTAAGAAAAACGTCTGGCCAAAAGTCCTACCGAAAGACATTACTGATTTTTCTTCTCAGTATGTACTTTTTCTGGCACCCTGCCGCCGAGCGAGTTCTGCCGCACGCCTTTTTTATACATAAGAAATACCTGTAATGGTTTCTGATGCTTAAATGATGACCGTAAACCCACTGTGCGGCAAGAAAGTGCCATGATGTGATATATTTTCAACATAGCATCTCCATTTCCTGCTAAAAGGAAGAATGATTGATAGGCCTAACAGTTCACTATTACAAAAGGAAAAGGCAGTCATCTCGAAGCTTAATGTAAGATCATCGCAAGCTTAGTGGTGAGACATATACCCAGTGCAAGTGCAGTATATTCCACATAAACAGAGTAGCAACAGTTAGACATGTTGTATGGTTAATGTTGTAATGAATGGCCAGTCCGCACTCCGCATGCTGGACGACTCGCATCTCCGCGAACTGCGTACGTGCGGAACCCAACTGTTGCCTGCACGTCATTTCTACTTCGTTTTCTTGCCTTCTAATCGAAAAAGCACTGCATTATCGTTTGATTGGATAGTTATTGGTGGACTAGAACTGGGTGCAAAAATGGATAAAATCCCTATATTTCATTTGTACATTGCAAAGTGAAAGTAAATGTAATGAGAATTTAGAAGTGTGTCAACATCCATCTATGGTACACAATCATGTGTTTGTTTGTTCAAAGTCGAATTTGTTGAGAAATCTGGATAATTGCACCCAGCTCGTGAAACGCGCATATTCCTTGCTCAAGAATTAGAAACATGGTGAGTGGAGAGTATAACAGAGAAAGATTTAATCAAAGGCTCTTGTTTGGCGATTAGTGTCCTAAGCCTCGCCGACCTTTTTCCCAATGTTCCAATACGTCGAGGCTGTGCGAGGGACGACGCTGGAAAAACACGCATTCCCTCTCCCATGCCTTCCAAATGTAAACTTGTAATGAAAAACGCAAAATACTCTACTCATCTGGCGGTATTTTTCAGCGGTGCAACTCACAAATCGCTCCGCATCAGCCTCGAGGCACAGGTTTTTAGATGACTTAGAAGCAGTGGATTATATCTCGTAAAAACACACGCCATATTGGATTTCCCTAACAGATTGGGATGTCTGGACGAAATACGCCTTCCCACAGCAGCTATCGCGGGTAGTTATGCCGTAAGTGTTGGTATGTGGACGCGAGAGGATCCTGCGACCAGAAAAGAATGTGTTGCGGCAGGTGATAGGACTCGGCTCGCGTGAAATGGCCCCGAACAGCTCGTCGAGGCAGCGAGGTTTGGGGCAAGAGTTGGGCGAGTAAGAGTGGCTCGCCTGTCAGAGGTTGGAGCACTCGACGCCAAACTCGTTCTATCACGGCGAGAGGACGCCTGGGAGACCCTCACGTGGTTGTAGGACTTGCGGGAAGGTCTGTGGAGGGCCGAGAACAGCAGGTGAAGTGGGTAATGTGACTGTCAGGGCCGAGTTTTCACCTGAAGAGTCGAGTGGTCTTGGTGGACCTCGACTGATGGTGTGGGAATACTTGGTGAATAAGAACTGTTTACAAATTAGAACCGTGTGATAATGATGTGTGATTAATAGTGATGATAAATTTGATAATGTTATGTCACCAAGAACTTTATTAGAACTGTTAAACTTCGTGATGTGAAGTGACCTCCAAAGAAAATGTGTGAGTCCATGTATATTATAATTCGTTAATTATGTGAACTGCTCCCAAAAGAAAGCTGTATTTGAATTTGTGGAAGAACTGTGATACTTAATTGTTGTAGTGACAGTGCATCAGAAATTTTACATGCATCCCAGGTACTTGACAGTGATTTTTGGCACTGTTGTTTTGGAACAAGTGATTTACATTAATGAAGACAGAAGTTTAAACTATTGGTCATCTGGGGTGAGAAAAATTGACACTACTACTATTTTTAGTTGGAGAATTGTGATAACATTATATTTGGAGCAGTGAGATTGTTGGGCATTTGTCATTAGGATTGACAGTTGATTATTTATTTATTTTAATTTGTGAATGAACAGAATATTCAATTTCGACAAGTATTGTAGTATTTAGGTAGAGTTGGCATTGAAACTGTAACTGAGCTCAGTATTCTTTACTTTTGTGATAAGAAGAGTACATAATAATCAGTAGATTATGTAAATGGTAATGAATTCCAAATAGTAAATTTTGTTTATTCATAATATATTTTATTTAGATCTATTATGATCAAAGACTTGGTTTTATAAATGACCACAGAATTGAGTCATTATTTTGTTTATATGCCGTAATTGGTTTTACTAAGAAAGTTGAGTTATCCCATGATGTTTTGATGTGCATTACTAGTTGCACAAACCATTCACTTTAATGATTTCCACCATCCTATCTATTCCAACAAGCATTGGTTAAGGGTATTGAGATTGATGGATTCAAAGTCTCCCATATTCTGTATTAACTAAGGCGGGAAACGGGTTGAGTTTGAATCTCATAACCTCACCGAGTTCATAAATATGGGGCCTCTGGTTCATAGGTCCTCTGTATATGGGTCGAACCTGCTGTATTGTGCCTAAGCTGGACGCCTGCTGCTTTACGTATATATGCTTACTTGGCTTATATTTTCATAGTTTCTATTTGATCGTAACACACTGTATTCCATTACATTTTATAGTTTTCCCTTCACATAATTCTGCTGTTAACCCATTGCTGCCGGGGAAAATGAACAAAAAATGGGGGAAATGCAGTACTCATTTTTAAATATTTTTGTGAAATATCTCTGTCCATAGATGGCTTTGCTAGTCCTGATTTCACCTTTCCTTGAATTGGCGGGAAAAAACGTATTCTTACTAGTGCTATAAATATAGATGGCGTTATTTTAAACAGCAAATTAGGATAACGTTAAATATTTTCGTAAATCGATGAAAAGGGTGAACGGGCAAGACAGGCAGAACTATAATTGGCTCATTGGATACTTAGTATAAGTGTAGCCATCTATGTGTATAAACAATCAAACAAGTCAACTCACAGTGGGCATGGCATGTATGTACATGCCATCCCCGGCGGCAATGGGTTAATGCTTTACATTTTTTTGAACACCCATTATATGTGTGATTTCTAGACTGATTGCTTTTTTCTATGGCATGGTACAGGGAGAGGAAGTATTATCATTGTTCAAGAAATATTTGTCATAATGTAATACATGTAAATTGTGTTCATTGGTATTTCTTGCATCTGTATATCCGTAGAGAGTGCAATTTTTTGAATTGTTGATCCATACTCTTCCTTGGCACACACTAACAGAAGGCATGCAGTTGTTAGATGTATCAGTGTGCAAAAAGTAAGAAATTTGACATAGATATAGTACTGTAATTTGTAAATTGCAAACCCAAAAGGCATTGAATATCTTACAATTGTTTTATATTTGAGGACAACTCAGGACTGTAGTCAGTATATCCAATTCAAGGACTGGAAATTTGACAAGGGACGATGGTTAATATCATAGAAATTGATATCCATAAAGAGTTTTATTCAGAAGTTTCTTAGACATCTGAATTTGATTCAGAAAAAAAATATTTAGATTGCATATTTATTTAGCATGTATGTTTCTTAAACCAATGGTACTAGGTAATCACACTCTCTACTGTCGTTTTCTTTGGTGTAATTTATTTGCCCATAGATGGCTCCACAAGTGCTCAGCCACCAGTAAGCCAATTAGTAAACCTGTGTCCTCAGCGGATTTCCCCTTTCTTTATTTTTTATTTTTTATTTATTTATTTATTTTTTTCTAATTCTATTGATATCGATGTTATTGATGTTGACTTTATGACTATTATGATGTTATGAACAATGCTACTAGTAATAAGAGATAAACAATAATCTTTTCAAAAATTAAGGAAAAGGATAAACACTTGAGCTAGGGTATGACAAGTAATTGACTCCTTGGTGATTAAGCACTTGTGGAGCCATCTGTGTAAAGATAAGGCTTTGAGGTAGGCAGCCATATATTGATATAAAAGAAGCCAAGATCTGCAGTGTCTCACAGAAGGTAATTTAGGAATAGTTCAATTTATTAAGGGGCGAATCTCCAGGAAAAACATTCAGTCCATACAAAATCCTTTATAGGCCTCATATAACCTGATAATATCATGTGCTGTTCTTTGGCCTGACTTCCTTTGCAATTTCCTGCAAAATGATACATTAGACCAAGCTCTGTTTTTCAAGAATATATTGGCCTCTACTGAAGCATTCTGTGGCACACAGGCCACAACATTCACATGGTACACTGTGAGAGTATCATTATACTTTATAAAGAACCTTAGCTTAACTCAGTGCTGCAAGGAAAATGCTTTTCTGATTGCTTTTTTTTTTTTTTTTTTTTTTTTGTGAAATGTCTCTGCACATAGATGGCTCTACTAGTCCTTAATCACAAAGGAGTCAATTAGTAGACCTTGTGACCTTACCTGGTTTCACTTTTCCTTGAATTAGCGGGAAAACCTTCTTTTACTAATGCTATCAGCATTAATGGTTTAATTTTCATTATAGATTTAATAGTTACTATGATGTAATAGACATTAGTAAAAGCATTATGAGATAACATAAAATATTTTTAAAAATCAAGGAAAAGGGTAAACAGGTGAGACAGGCTGTACTCGTAATTGGTTAATTGGTGATTTATTACAAATGTAGGCATCTATGTGTAAAAACAATTAATAAAGTAAACTCACAGCGGATTTCCCCTTTCTTTATTTTTTATTTTTTATTTATTTATTTATTTTTTTCTAATTCTATTGATATCGATGTTATTGATGTTGACTTTATGACTATTATGATGTTATGAACAATGCTACTAGTAATAAGAGATAAACAATAATCTTTTCAAAAATTAAGGAAAAGGATAAACACTTGAGCTAGGGTATGACAAGTAATTGACTCCTTGGTGATTAAGCACTTGTGGAGCCATCTGTGTAAAGATAAGGCTTTGAGGTAGGCAGCCATATATTGATATAAAAGAAGCCAAGATCTGCAGTGTCTCACAGAAGGTAATTTAGGAATAGTTCAATTTATTAAGGGGCGAATCTCCAGGAAAAACATTCAGTCCATACAAAATCCTTTATAGGCCTCATATAACCTGATAATATCATGTGCTGTTCTTTGGCCTGACTTCCTTTGCAATTTCCTGCAAAATGATACATTAGACCAAGCTCTGTTTTTCAAGAATATATTGGCCTCTACTGAAGCATTCTGTGGCACACAGGCCACAACATTCACATGGTACACTGTGAGAGTATCATTATACTTTATAAAGAACCTTAGCTTAACTCAGTGCTGCAAGGAAAATGCTTTTCTGATTGCTTTTTTTTTTTTTTTTTTTTGTGAAATGTCTCTGCACATAGATGGCTCTACTAGTCCTTAATCACAAAGGAGTCAATTAGTAGACCTTGTGACCTTACCTGGTTTCACTTTTCCTTGAATTAGCGGGAAAACCTTCTTTTACTAATGCTATCAGCATTAATGGTTTAATTTTCATTATAGATTTAATAGTTACTATGATGTAATAGACATTAGTAAAAGCATTATGAGATAACATAAAATATTTTTAAAAATCAAGGAAAAGGGTAAACAGGTGAGACAGGCTGTACTCGTAATTGGTTAATTGGTGATTTATTACAAATGTAGGCATCTATGTGTAAAAACAATTAATAAAGTAAACTCACAGTGGTCATGGCATGTATGTATATGCCATGCCTGTCAGATTTGGATTAGAAGCAAATTGAACTTATAGGATACAAATATATAGAGTATTGGTCTCTAGATTGAAATTTCAATTTTTATGGAAAATGTTTACAAGACACTGTTGTATCATACTAACTAGCTTATTTGCCACACCCACATGTCCACCACTGGCCTCCAACCCTTTGGTGCTTCAACAAAGGCTAACAGACTTCTACATAATACTGTATGTTCTGGCATGGCAGAAGTTGTAAACATCCCAGGTGATATATTATCAAAGACAGAACCAGTCTAACCTCAGAACTTTAGTTGTGATGACTTTTACTTTGATTCAGCACCAAAGGTGTGGATACCATGATGATCACTTGACGCTATATATATATATATATATATATATATATATATATATATATATATATATATATATATATATATATATATATATATATATATATATT